TGAGGGCTGTAACAGGCTTCCTGGGACAGAGAGTTAAGGTTCCCGTTCCTAATTCCAGGCTCTCCTGACTTGCCATTTGGAAAAGTTACCTAAGTTCACAATGGAGCTCATTTCTCGCTCAATAAAAACAGTGCTGCACAAGAGCTGCCAGTCCATGAAGTCTCCAACGTCCCTTGAAATTAGGACAGTATGGACAAAACAACATTGGCATTGAATAGAGATCATTATTCTAGCTGTCCGTTGGCCAGATTCTGAGAGGAGGATATGGAAATACATTGCTTGTGACTCAGTGATTTGGATATTCAATCCCCCCCCCCCCCCCCGCATTCTTACGTCAATGTCATTTGACTAATAAGTTAGGGAACTTAAAGTGGAGAGCGAATATCCCTAATCAGGGTCTCACTGGCCTGAACATATTCAATCTCACACCACGTGGATACCAAGAGAATCTCAGGGTAACCCCACTGCAATTTATACTAATACACATGGGCTACAGAAACCCCAAACAATCATTACCTCAGATAAAAATAACTTTATTTCATCTAGGGAGCCATATAAGAGGCCTTAGTAGGCAGATCCATTCTATCACAGTGTAGACCATTTCAGAATGCCTTTGTACTGATATATGCATATTGTCTCAAAGGTCACTAGGCTACATGCAGAGCTGCAAAATGACTAGCAAGGCCAGGCACATAGTAGGTACACAGATTTGTGTAGACTGAATGAGGAAACAAATCAAGTAATCAAAATAACTTTACATAAAGCTAAGAGTTAATTTGCCACCCATTACTCAATCAGCTCAGACACTAGACTAAGCCCTTCAAGCAAAATACTCAACTGTGATATGATGCAACCCAGGCAGCAAACATTCAATTTGGGAAAAATCAGGTCTGAAGATGACACTTCATACCAACATCAGAAGAGAAAGAGAAGCACCCTTCTCACCCTAGATTCATTCCTTCAACAAGCCTTTCCCTGTGCTCAAGTGTGAAACCCTGCTAGGTGCTGGCAGTCAAGGATGAATAAACCCATAGACCCTCATCACAATTTATGTGGGGAGACAGAAATGGACATTAAAAACAAACATCCGTACAGGAAGATAAGAGCTACATAGACTAAAGCAGAAAGCCCCAAGGCCACCTGTTCAGAGAGGTTTATGGTCCTAGTGTCATTTTCAAGTACCTGGCTGTCCTGGCCTCTCAGATTGCTTTAGTGAAAAGCTTGGCCATGACGCTGGATATTTGAGAAAGTCAGCCTAAAGAACATGTCAACCACTCATTCCTCTAGGTTTTCTGAGCTCTATTTCTGCCTTGGGGACAATCACCAGAATCTCTACCGCTAGACCATGCTAGTTTAGGCTCCAAAGATAAACTCCCACTGGGTTACTTGTCATCATTGGGCTTTCTGCATATTTTTTCTCCTCTAGCGTTGGGGAAAGACATGACCATACAAAGACTTTCCTTCATTTTCTGGAGAACTGAAGTTCAAGTATTGGCCATTATATAATGTGATATTTCACAGGAGTATATACTAGTTGTCAGGCACTATAGTAAGCACTCTGCCAATGATATCTGATATATCCTTATAACTTTAATACGCCACCCCCCCTTTTTCCTATTAACGTAACTTGGCCACTGAGAAGCTCAGAGCTAAATTAAATACTCACAAGCAATAAGCACTTAGTATTTCAGTTTAATAATCTTTCCTCCACTACCATTTTTACCAGTCTCATTATTTTGTGGAATTTTTACTATGCATTTATTCAGACACATTTCCAAAAGATGATACTCTAATAACATAAACAAATCCCCATAATCATCGATTGTAACTTCCTTTTAGTCTCAATTGTCAAAAGAGTTTCCATGACTAGCTAATTTGAAGATAACCCCGTGGGTATCACAGCTCAGTCAACTTAAAACTCAGATAATACAATATTTCCCATAGTCATCGGTTACAAATCTATTTATAGAAGTGGGAGAAGGGGTCAAAGGGGAAGGCTGACTTAACTTATAACACAGGGTAACCACCAGGTGATTTCCAATCTACCTCCAAGGGCTATTTCTATCTTGTGTGGCCTCCTGACAGTCCGTTTGCCCTTCCTCAAACACCACCTTTGTAGATCAGCTGGAGGCACCGCTAGAACTTGCTGAGTGAGAAGGTACTGCAATCACCCAGTGATGTGTGTTTCCTGGAATTTCACTCTGAGCACTGACAATACCTCTGAAACTCATAAAAATTCTGCTGAAATCGAGCATGTTGAAGGTCAAAGTCTTCAAGGGATCAGGTAAGACAAACTGCTGCTGAGAAATTCCATGTACTCAAGGCAAAAGCCTCCAGGAAAAACGCATAGAAATAACTCTGTATCATCACCACACAAAATGAGGCTAGCTTTCATCTCACGAGAAAGAGAGAGATAAACAAAGATTGACCCATACATACGTAAAAACACACATATACAGGCACAGAACTTGGCATACTCAATTGGTACTCGTTTAGTCAGGTATTTAGGGGAACACAATGTGTGGGCACAACCATTCCTTTATTTAACAAAGATCTATTCAGCACCTACTGTGTGCCAAACATGGTTTCTCATGAACTCTATATTCCAGACACAGGGGATAGGTAATAAGTGCCAACTAAAATGATCAACTCAGATTGCAAATAAGACCAAGGAAGAGGGGGAAGAACAAACAAAAAAGCAGTGTCTCAGAAGAAATGAGGGACTGCCTTTGCTCAAGTGGTCAGGGAAAGGCTTTCAAAGAAGGTGACACATAATCTCACACTAGGATGACAAAAAGGAACTAAAGAAACCAGCCACCTTTCCTCTGATTTCCATCAAAAAGATGAGCTTACTAAAAAAAGAACTGTGCAATCCCATTTGTGGCTCCACACACCCTGTGCTTCAAATAATTGCAAAACCCCAGAAAAAGGAAGATAACCCACAATTTTTAAAGGAAAATTTTAGGAAATAACCTTTTCTCAAAGATGCAGATTAAAAGGAAGTTGTCTTAATTCCTCTCTCTAGCAGAATTTATGACAAAGAATCTGTATGGGAGAAATTGAATGTTTATTACTCTTGGAAAGTCAGTTATTTTATAAAACAATATTCCAATGTCAATAAAGTTATGCCTTTGAATTGTAATGCCACCAGAAATTGCATCATAAAAAATAGTTCTGTGGCTATATTCAGTATCATTTACTTCCACATGCTGGAAAATAAAGGCAAATCATATTTACAAGCAGATGGTCCTTCTTCCAATATATAACAAAACTTTGAAATTCATTAAAATAAAATTCTGACACTATCTGTTTAATAATCACAAATAATAAACGGCCATTTACCAATGCCTTCCCATAGAATACCCCCAAATAAATAACTTATTATTTAATTTCTGTTAAAGTCAATTAAAACACTTAGCCAAGTGGCATGAAAACTCCTAAAAATATCCATTGCTCAAAACACTTTTCATCAAAACACCTTTTTTAAAAGAAAAATGTTTCCTAGTCCCTGACTTGTTTCAGAATAAGAGAGGTAAACAGAAGTGAATGAGGGAGCAGTCACGGTGAATATTCAGAATGAATCATGGAATGCTTTGACTAAAATGCAGTTTTTACTTTGAAATCCAATGCATGCTATATATTATTACAATATGAATAAGCACAGTAAACCAAAACAAGGCAAAATAGTGTAAAGATATTGCCTCACAGGTCTGCATTACCCAATACCCTGTCACTGCTGTGCTCTGACATTAACACATTATCAAAGGAATGCTTTATGGTTTTGAACTACAAAACAGGTCTTTCAAACAATCTCACTAGCACCTGAGACCAGAACATGTTAAGAGGAAGACTAGGTTTCCAATTTATTTACTGATGAGGGGTGGTGTCTGAATTTTCACAAATCTGCACAGAGAGGGGAGGATGGAGAGTTTGAACTCGTCTGTTCAGGTACATTCTTTTCTTTGACTCACTTTACAAATGGTTATGCTTCTAGACCCTTTAAAATTTCCCATTTGGGGAAAATTAAAATGAATAAATAAAAAAACTCACCCTATGCTTCCTCTCCCTCAACAAATCAGAAGGCTTAAGACTTAGCACTAATAATAATCCTACAATGGTCATTGGGAAATCCTTCTCCAAAGTGACAACAGCAGCTAAGGACAAAATACACTAGGAGTAAAAAAAAAAAAAAAAAAACTCCCCCAAATTAGTCCTTCTAAGAGGGGTGGCGCGGGGGTGGGGAAGCACACAGCTGGCACAACTCCTGCTATCAGAACCAACTTCAGGCCACTCAGACGAAGATGCTGCGTCAAGAGAAGCAAGGCAAAGAAGTGCGACTCTGGAGGTTGGCGAAATCGCCACCGACTCCCAGAGGAGGCGGGGAGAAGCCAAGTCGCCAGGCACCGGCAACAGCGCACGCCAATATTCAGGATTATTCTCCTTCCCAAACCCGGCAGTTCCGGGGCAGGAGCAAACGGGGGGATGGGGGACCCACAGTCCCTTTAAACCGCACCCCCGGTCTCTGCCAACCTTTTTCGAATTCCCGTGTCACAGAACTTCCTCATCATGGAAACTTCCACTCGGTTCGGCGCTGAGGATGCCAAACTCCATTTCACAAGGAGCCTGTCAACAGCCGGGTTGGGGTTTGAGAAACAGAGCCGCTGCGATTGGAGCGGGCCCCCGGCCACCCTGCTCTGCCACTGCCCACGCTGTGGCTCCTGGAGTGCCGCCGCGCGGTGCCCCAGCACCAGAGGGCACCTCCTCCCAGACCCGGGGCACAGAAACCCCGCGGAGGCAGGTAACAGGGCGGATGACTGACACCCCCACCCACCCACGCCCGCCCGCGCGCGCTCAGGTTGCCGCCCGCACCCCTTCAGTTTCCCGCGACACCCCAGTCACCATCCTGCCCACCCTTCTGGACATTTGGAACTGTCGCCCCTTCCCCCCGCCCCCCGAGACCCCTTCGCCCCTGCCTCCCCGCGGTCCTCTCCCCAAATTACCAGTGCCCTGGAGCCGGTTGGGTTGGGCGCCCCTGCCCGGGGAAGGCGGCCGGCGGGCGCTCGCCCCGAGCCCGGGGAGCAGAAGGTCTCCTTTCCAAGCGCACTCACATTATTCATGCAAAGTTAATCCCCGCCGCGTCACGGCCGCCCGCCCGAGGATGTGCGCCTTCCTTGGCCAAGCCCCGCAGTCTCCACCCTCCTCCGCCCCCTCCTCCCGGCGGCGGGGTCCCGGGGAGCGCCGGCGACGGGACGTCGCGCGAGTCCTGCAAAATGTCAACTCCTTGGGCGAAGAGAGGCGGCCGCCGCCAGGGCCGCGCCGGCCCTCCCCTGCCCTCCACTTTCATAGGCGTAGGAACCGAGTGTGGCCCGGGCACCCGGTCCCCGCCTCTCTCGGCCCCCCGCGCGCCCGGCCCGCCCCGGCCCGCTCCCGGGCGCTCCTTACTCCGAGCCCCGGGCGCACGCTCCGCGACGCGGCTGCGAACCGGTGACCTGGTTTCCCCTCCAGCCCTCCCGGCGCTCGGCTCGCGCGGCGGCGACAGCCAAGAGGAGGCGAACCGGGCTCCGCCAGGGGCGTAGCGAGGAAATGGCCTCCCGGCCGCAGGTCCCGCCGCCGCCGCCGCCGCCGCCTCCCGCCTGGCTCGCGCCTGGCACTTGCTGTCGGATGTGTCGGCCACTCCGGGCTCGCGCAGTCCCCCTGCCCAGTTCCCTACGTGCACACCAGCCGGCCGGCCGCCTCCACACCTGCCTCCCCAGGTTCGGCCGCTCCCTCTCCTCCCGGGCCCGGCCGTGCCTCCCACCGGGGGTGCCCTTGCCCGGGTGGCGATGTCGCGGTGGTTTGGGTGGCCGCGAGTCCACCCACCGGCTATGTGAGCACCGAGGTTCGGTTTGGGCGTCATTCCTCTAACAGGCAAAGTGGAAGGAATGGGGAATGAGTGACAGGGGGGCGGGGAGAAGGTGACTTCCAGAAGTATGTGCTTATTTCGCCTGGCCCGCCGCGCTCCTCCCTTTTTCTCCAAACCACTTGTGGCGCGTGTCGGGCCGACACGGCTCACTGGCTCCTCCCGGGGCCTCCCACCCGCCTCGGGGACTGGTGTTCTCTTACCACCACCACCTAGGGAATGGAAGTTTGGAAAATACCTGGCTTGTCCTTGAGGGAGGCACCCCTTCACACCACTATGCGTATCCAGGAAGGTGTGTGCTGAGACGCTCCACAGGTTCCAGAAGGGCCGCCCCGTTAGCTTTTCTTTGCTCTCGATATGTACAAATAAAACCGGAAGACGAAAATAATTTATACTTTTGAAAAATTCTGCCCAGGCAAATATGAATTTCTAAAGTGTCCCCGCCCCTCTCCCCGTAAATCCGGAAGGCCAAGGATTCAGACTGGGAGAAAATGAAGCAGGCAGCTGCGTTCTGCGCTGGAAGAATGCTTGTAAAAATACTGAGTACCCCAAAAGCTAAACTGTAGTCGTTAAGAAGCTACAGTTGCAACAAAACTATATTGACGGCAGGGTAAAATTATTTTCTTGTAGAGAATGTTCAAATAATTCCGACTTCATTAGTCCATGTACATGTGTGTAACAAACACTGAGAGAGCCATGTCGATTTGTAGGTGTCCCCAACTGCCTGAACAGTGTCCAGATCACTTATTGGAGAGTTTTCTAGATTGCCAGCCTGTGGTGTGTGTTTTATTCCAGCTCCTGGTGAGCACCCCACGGAAAGGGGCGAGAAGCCACCGCCCCTGCAGACAGCATTAACCACCACAGCTGTCAGGAAATTAGAAACTGTTCCAGGCTCCTGAGACAGAGCTTCGGAGCTTCCACAGAGAAAGTCCAAGACCCCAGGAATCCCTGGAGAGGGCGAGAGAGGCCTCTCCCTTGAAACTCCACGGATCCTATTTCCCCTCGGTCCTTGACGATACATCCATGTTTTTTTTTATTTCCTCCTATTAAGGCTGCACCACGGGACTTGCAGGTTTGTAGCTGGTGAATTATTCTTTGCAGTGAAGTTCCCTAACTTTGCGCCAAGGCTGTCCCTAGATGTTTTGGTTGGTTCACAGGAAAGCTGTTGGAGTCTCACCATTTGTTCCAAACAGGGGGCCCCCTGGTGGCTAACTGTGAGTGAAAACTTTGGCCACCAAGAAAAAAGCCTGGCTCTGATAGGCCACCACAGTTGACAGATGGGTCAGGGCAGGGGCCTAGGAGTGGGTAAACAACTTTGTAATAGAGGAGGTGGTGGTGATGGTGGTGGTGGTGGTGGTGGTGTGTGTGATGTCAATCTTCCTTCAAAAACGCAGATAATAGGCCTTAAAGACTGCTGGGACTTTATATTTTTTCTCTTCTCGAGTATTACTTAGAGCTAAATTCCTTCCTAAGTAGGAAATAGGGTACAGAGAATGAAGTATAACAAACCCTGTTGCTTCTCTTTGTTCAAATGGCGTTGCCTTTCTGATCCCATTTTGCCTGGGAACTTCTGAAGGACAGAGTAAATTAAAACATTAAGCAAATAATGTGGCATTACTCAAACAATTCATGAGCCTATGATTGTAATAATGCTTTATAACAATGGGGAGGACAATTTTAATGCAACGTTATTGAAACAACATGAACTACTAGGATTCCATTGGAACCGACCCTCTAAGGACAGTCTTATAGGCTGCATGATGGTAAAGAATGATTACCAACAGAACAAGCAGTTTTTCTTTTCTGAGTTTACACTAGTGGGGACAATGAAAGAGAATTGAGTGGGGACCTGATTGAAGGTAGTCCCAACCCCGCTGATTTCAGAAGGCATAACCAAGCTGTTTTCATGACACATGATCACTTTCCACCATAGCTATCCATTTTCATTGCCAGGATCTATAAATTTCAAGCCGATGAATTGGTTCAAGGAAGCATTTTATTCATATATTTATTCATTCAATGACACTGAATGGGGTTAGAAGACAAATAAAACATAGGATCCAACAAGGCTGGGATTAGACTGAAGTGAATGAGACCAGTGGTACTAGAACAGGGTCTGCACCTGTCTTGATTTTAAAATTCTATATATTGTTTATCATGGATAAATGTTGCATTAATTTTGACTTTAAAATATTGCATTAAGATATAATTTCTGTTGATTACCGAGGCTTTTGACTTCCCCTTACATTTTATATCCAAGGCCAATGCCTCACTCACCACACCGTAGTTCCCACTCTGCTGTGCCCTCGTGTTACCAGAGTCTACCAAGAGAAGTAAAATTCAATTACAGATTTCTCAACGTCAAAGGTAATTAATATATGTTAAGGAACTTGAGGTCAGGAAGTTAAAGATGTGGGTGTGAGATGAGGGTAAAAATCAGGAAGATTTCACAGAACTAGGTAGCACTTGAAACAATTCAAGAATTGACCAGATTTTACCAGAGAGCATTGGAACCAAAGGAATGAACTTTCCAGGGACTGGAACACTTCCCATTCTTTCATTTATTCAACAACTGCTTCCCAAGCTAGCTATGCAGTCAAATGACCCAGCCCTGGAGATTCTGATTCTTTCTGTTCATTGTTGGTCCTGGAATTTATTTTGACTACAAAGGCCCCAGTGATTCTGGTCCATGGCCAGATAGATAAGAATGTCAAGTCTGTTCCTGCTCTTCAGGAAAGACAGACAATTAGGGGAGATAACTTGTTCAAAATTAATTTCAGAGTGAAGGTGTAATGAGAAATATATAAACATAAATTGCCAGGTGATTGCTGGTTTGGAGACCATGATAGCTCAAGAAGAACAGGGGGGTGGCGTGGGGACCAGGTAAGATTTCCTGCAAAATGTGGCTGAGTGGAACTTCTGGGAGAAGTCAGAGAGGGGACAAGACATTTTTAGGGCCCAGTGCAAAATGAAAATGTGGGGCCCTTATTGAAAAAAGCAGGGGACAAATGTCACTAAAGGTGCAAAATATAAAGCAGCTCCTTTCTTCCATATTGTCTCTTTGGAATTGCCATGGTATATTTTTTATTTTCTATTTGATATCATTCTAAGTAAAGAAACACAAACAATTAAAATTATTAGCATAGATTTTACTGTTCATCTTTACATCATGCAATGCTAGTTTTCAATGCAAATAGAAGAGCATTTAGCTCCTATGTGAAATCAACAAGATTACACAATTTGTGTTTTGTAGCTAATCTGTGCATATGTATTTTGTAGCATGTCTGGTTTGGTCTTTTTTTTTTTTTATCCTCACTCGAGGACATTTTTCCTTTTTTTTTTGTTCAGGTAGAGTGGGAGGGAGAGAGAGGAACAGAGAGAGAGAGAAACATCCATGTGAAAGGAACACATCGAGTGGCTGCCGCCCGCACGACCTACCAGGGTCGGGAATAAACTGCAACCGAGGTATGTACCCTTAGTGGGAACCGAACCCAGGTCTCTCAGGACCGCAGGCTGACGCTCTAACTGCTGAGCCAAACCGACCAGGGCTGGTTTGGTCTTATTAGAACCGTGGAATCAGCACAAAACTGACACAGTTGTTTTTATTTTACTTCTTATTATGTGCTCATTCTTCCAACACTCTGTCTTTGACTTTCAGTCCTGATGAGAAAGGAAGAACTGAAAGGAAAAAGAACTATGGTTTGCTCTTTCCTTCAATGTCATCACTTTCAGAGTAACTAGTTAGCTAGTACAGGGAAGTAACACAAGTAAGAGAGGACGTGATCAAGTTCCTTGGTGGTTGCCTCCTTTTTGCCTTCAGAGCAAGTTCTGGTTGGGATAGAAAGCATGGACCATGCTTACATTGTTAGTTTGAATGTTGCTGACTGCCCCCCCCCCCCATATGGGGCCATTGGAATTCTGTACTCATGGAGCATCAGGCATGCTGTGTATGGATGCAGCAGTGAAGAACAGCCATGGGCAGGTGCATTAAGTGCATCTCCTCTGCTCCCACACATGCTCCATTGTCCCGACAGATGTCACTTACAAAAACACAAGTTTAAAGATAAAATTACTAGGAATATCAATATGGTGAAAACAGAGCATTAAACTAGGTGTCAGGCCTGGAGCTCAGGGCCCTTCTGAGCATGCGCCCTGTTCAGCTGCCCATGAAGTGCCCTGGTGAAAGAACTGCATCCTTTGCCATGATGAAGGCCTA